CATACTGTTTCTTAGTGGCAATTAGTTTAAAATGTGTGTATATATAAAGTTGAAATCAAACATCTGTGGCCCTGTATTACCTCTTTGTAACACTAGGGTTTTACGGATGTTTGAAGGCACAGTTAAGGTCTGTATACTCTGTTAGGCCATATAGTATGTTATATTCTTTAGGTCTCTAGTTTCTAACACAAAATAGATGTTCAGAAAATGTTTGCACTGTGATAAAGGCAATGTTAAGATATGATTTTCTGATTTATCCCGTAGGGCACCAGTGTCTTGTCACCTGGACTCCACATAGGAATTATTATTATATTGGCAATAATGATCTATAAAAAGTCAGCAACTAATGTGTTTGAAAAGCATCCTTGTCTTTATACCCTTATGTTTGGATGTGTCTTTGCTAAAGTATCACAAAAATTGGTGGTAAGAAATTCTTTCATTTATATTTCATAATATAAATAGTACTTGGTCTTCAAATACAAAGCTGGAAACCGTTTCATACAATGGGTAGGTTTTTAATGGTGTTGTCATTATAATAAATGGCTGTTTGTGCTCCAAGTAAAACTGTAAATGAGTTAGTGTTATATTCAGGGAGATACTTTCCTTTCTGAATGCTAAGTTCTTTTAATTATTTGTTTAGCTGTAATTGTCAACTATAATTTTCTGATATCAAGGAATTTAAATATTGGGAACTTTAATGAGCTACCCAATCATGAATGTGAGAAGTTTTATAATCAGTATTTCCATATTAAACGTGAGATTAAATGGTCTCTTTATCTTTGTCTTAATAGTGATTAAAGTATAAATCCTGTCCTAAAAACTGAAAGTTAAAATATTTAAAATTTAATAGTGAAATTATTTTGTTTATCTTTTTATAGATAGCTCACATGACCAAAAGTGAACTGTATCTTCAAGACACTGTCTTTTTTGGCCCAGGTCTTTTATTTTTAGACCAGTACTTTAATAATTTTATAGACGAATATGTTGTTCTTTGGATAGCAATGGTAAGTTCTTTACTGCTAATATTTTTAATAGATGTCAGATAACCTTATACTAAAAAGTTACTTCAGTGATATAGCAGCCTCATTATCTAGTCTATTCTGTAAATGTTCCTGAATAGAATATTTAAAATTAACTCCTTTCAAGCTGTGCATTTTTTTTTTTTTTTTGGTATAGAAATGGCCCACATATGGAGATCAGGCTTCTAACAACTTAAATCTTTAAAAACACAACCCTGTACCTTACAAATAGATCTTTCTTCCTCATCAAAAACAATACAAAGATGACAAAAATCACCTCACTCTGCCCAGAGAAATGCAAATACTTAAGTGTCTGACTTTTACTTAAACTTGTTCAGTCATCACAGACATGGATGAAAGGAGCATTTTTGAGACATTATCTTTATTGTCCTCAATTAATGGTGGTTCTGAACATCTTTGCTTTATTTTCCCCTACCTCTGGACCTTCATGGCTTTGTTAGTAATATATAGACACATATTAAAGTGTGCTAAAATAAATCCTTCAGTTAATCTCTTGATAATTTGAATAATCTACCCTATTTATTAGATTTGGGCACTAAAATATTTAAGTCTTCCATTCTTCAAATGGTGGTGAGATGTAAATATTAATCCTTGCAAATTTCCAGGCAGTAGTCTAAAAAGTGAAAATCAGAGTAATTTCCTTTAATTTGTTATCCAGCATACGTAATTTTAGGGCTTCAAAATAATCTAAATTTAAGAAATAGGGTGATTATTCAAAATATCTGAAAACTCAATAGGGTTTCTTTTACTAATCTTGCATATGTATTACCAAATGGTATTAATATAATTAAATCAGATGTTAAAAATTCAAGCACCTATTTTGTAGTGAGTTAGGCCTGGTTTATGCCCGTGGTAGAGATTACGGTGAGGAAAGCAAATTGAATTTTTCTCTAAAATACTATGTGGACCACAATTTAAAACAATAAAAAACACTTATGTGAATCAAACAAAACATTATGTGTCCTTTAACATCATTAGAGAAAAGCTTACTTCAGTGAGAAAAGGGTCAGACAGAGCTATTCAAGTAAATGATATGGGAGATTTTCCCCTCAAGAGTGAGAGAATTCCTGCTTTACTGGCAGAGCAGTGAGCCTCCTTTCTCTGAAAGGAAGCATTTGTCCCTGGTCTCTGGTAAACTTTTTAGTGTGTCTTCCTCAATTTTGTATTCAACACAATTTTGTATAAGCATCCCCTCAACTATGGTGTTTTTTCGAGGCCTTTATTTTCTTACAACCATCTCAAAGGAAAAATAATTTATATGATGGAATGATTTTATTAAGTGACAAACAGCCCCTCCTAATAGAAAATTTATGGCTTCGTTGCACAGCAGAAAATGTAAAGAATGTGGAGTCAGAAGACAAATTGTGTTGCCAGCTTTTATATTTTTTCTAGGCCGTTTACATTCTGAGCCTCGTTGCACAGCAGAAAATGTAAAGAATGTGGAGTCAGAAGACAAATTGTGTTGCCAGCTTTTATATTTTTTCTAGGCCATTTACCGTTCTGAGCCTCAGTACTTATAACTGTGACATACTCTGCATGTTCCAGTGGATTATAGGGAGATCCAAATATGAAATATATGAAAGTACTCTAAAATATTGTATTTTCATTGAAGAAGTTTAGGTTAAGGTTTGAGATCTTGCGGGGGTGGGGGGAGACAAAAAAAATTGCCTCTTCAGAAAAGATAGACTGTAATACTTTTTTTTTTTTTTGCTTCCAAAGGTCATTTCTTCATTTGATATGATGATGTATTTTAGTGCTTTGTGCCTGCAAATTTCAAGACACCTTCATCTAAATATCTTCAAGACTTCATGTCATGAAGCACCCGAACAGGTTCACAAGCATATTGACTAATAGCCCAAGGAAAAGAGGAGAAGCAGTTAGGGGAACCTATGAGTGAAGGAAATTCCCCTTTGCAGGAGGCTAGTATACAATAAATAAGGTTATATTTGACTATAGAACATTAAGTCCTGTAGATTCCATTATGTGTATTTCAGTTGTGAAGCCCTCATTGCCTATCAACATTTTTGATCACAGGTATTATCAGGATATTACAATCTATAAATTAGAAACAAAATCAAATTTTAATTTTGAGGACACGAAAGTAAACCAATGTGGTTCTAAAAATCTGTCTCAAAAATCTTTATCAGATACTTGGGATTTTCATTGCTAAAGGATTACATAAAAATGGAGGGCTTAGAGGATTTTAGCCATCTTAAGGGTGATGCTTATTACTTCAATTGCTAATAATTGATGTGTTTATAATACTGCATAAGTGGATGGATTGTAATTACGGAGTCAAATGATGTTATAAGAAATGATTTTTTAAGCTATTTTTCAAAGGAGTTAATTACTGTTGGAAAAAGGAAACGGAACTAGAATTTAAAAGGGCTACTAGAATTTTCTATAATTTATATTTAGTAAAAGGAATGTGTCTCACAGTTCAGAAAAACAAATGAACCTTTAAACATTCCTTGATAGTAAAATTTCAGTCACAAAAAAGTGGACATTAAAAAGATCCCCTTTTATGAAACATAAAAAAATGCCAAAGCAAAGTTGATGTAAGAAAATTAGTAATTTGTGACAACAACATGGCAAAAATATCTTCCCTTTAGAATATCAGCCACAGTTACCTCAAATAGACATTGGCTCATGAGGAAATCTGGATAATGTAAATATCAGTTATCCCATCACTAAATACATTATAAATTATCTTTCCACTGTCATTAAAAGTATGAGACTTATGACTCAGATTACCCATTTTACCTTATTTTTAATTTTGTCCAAGTTCTGTAGACCATAAGCCTTATGATGAAATAATTTAAAAAAAAATAAAGGAGTAATGAACACACATTGCACCTTAAGTAATAAAAAGGCATATTGAAAAAATAGTGAAAGTTGATATTCCTTAAAAGTAAAAAATATGTGAATTAGTACACAGAAACCACTCTGGAGTACTTATTTGCCTCTATTAGTAAGCTCAGATAGGACTTTATTAGGGGTTTAAATAGTACTTAAGATGTATATTCCAACATACACTTTGGCTTAAAAGTCCTTCACAAAATTTAGGAACTGTTTCCTTAATGTTATAATGGTTAATTTCTTCCTGTATAAGTTATTATAGTTAGAAAAAGACAGTCATGGACTATCTTATGGACTTGCTTTTTAAAACTTGGAAAACCTTAAAACTAAGGTAAAGGTGGATTATAGTGGCAAAAATCAGAATATAAAACATGAAAAAAAGAGGGAAAAAATCAATTCTTTCCTCCTAATGGGCATTATTTTTTGCTTTGAATGATTCAGTGAAAGCAATTTCAGCAAAAAGTAAAGTTTAGCAGATGTATTTCAAATGCTGAGACAATTTAGTCTATTGACTCTAGTGTTTCATGTTACTGTGTTTAAAAAATGCAGAGTTTTAGTGACAAGGTATAAAGTTAACTGTTCAAGTTTGAAAATGAATGTAATCAAACTTCCATATATTTACTGAATTTAAAACTGAAAAAATATTTTCTAGGTAATTAACTTTAAAGACGAATGTGACATATTTAAACCATAAGTAATTAGGTATGTTAATGATATACTTTCAGTCATTACTAAGGGCATGTGTCATTTAATTGTGGACCAAGCCTAATTAAATGGCATTTAGACGTCTTTCTGGAAATGACATATTCACAAATATGTGTCTTAAAATTTTTATATATCTTGTTTAGTTTTCTTAATAGTTTTTAGCAGTTTATTTCAGAACACAAACAAGTTGCTTTTAATAAATTTTATAAGTCAATTTTCTTTTGAAATCTTATTTTCATTAGTACTGGCTGTGTAACTTAAGTATATACAGTAAAATGTACATATAACATAAATTTTGTATATTTTTTCTTAAAGAAGAAAAATGTAACCTTCTAAACTTGTGCTTTGTAGCTTTCTACCTTTTGGGACTAATACAAATACACCGAAGCCAAAAACTGAAATTAAATCATCTTTATTGCTAAAAGTTAATATACAAGTGTTAAAGAGAAAAATACACTATTACTATTAAAAAGCTGGAAACTTGGTATAAATAATTTAAGAATTGCTACTATTCATATAACTGTTCAGCTTTATGTGAAAGTTAACAAGTAGAGAGGTCTTGCACTTAAGCTAACAACACAATGTATTATTTTAAACTAGAATTTTTAAACCACTCTAAAAGAATTACATGCCTCTTAGCTAATGTTATAATTGTATCATATTACTTAGGTTCAAGTTCTTCCTTCAAAGAGTCATCAGAATAACATGGATTGAAGAGACTTTCGAACACTTGCCATCTCTTGCTGCTGCTGTTACATGAAAGGAAATATTAAACATTTGTTTAATTTTTAGATAAGTGTTATACATATTTCACCAAATAAAATATTTCATTGGTTGCATTACTCCTCATTTTTCCAACTTAAAATGTAACGACTTACAGTCTCCATCATAATTTTTTTTTGCAACATAGCCATTTCTTTTTTAAGTTCATTTTGCGCACCAGTAAGTAGGTTATCATGATTCTTCTCCAACTCTTCCATATTCTAAAACACAAAAGGCTAGTTCAGTTACAAACCATCACTTTTCATCTCAGATTCTAAACTTACATTACTAATTTTCAATAGTAGGAACTTTCTACTATTCAAATAATGTGAATTATTTATGCCAAATGAAAATACTCTAATAGTGGAAACCAAAATACAAAGGAAGAAAACCATCAGACATGGATCAAGTATTACAGGAGGTATGATAGTAGTATACTTTGCTCAAAATAATGGGTTAATAAGCTGCTAAGGTCAAAATAGAACAAAAAAGGAATGCCGTAATACTTAAAATTTCTAATAAGCTTTCTAAATATCAAGTAATTATGTTATTCTAATAGTCAATGTGATGTGAATTCATTAGAAGGAATAAAATGATCTGTAATCTACCTCTTCTTTCAATTTATGAAAAACAAGTTATGTTATATCAAACATAACTTTATTATTCATAATAATAATAATTACTCATAATAATAATAATATCTAATGAATAATAATATTCATATCTTTATTATTCATCTAACCAATAGTGATCCTAACTCCTACTATATAAAAAGTACTACATTAAGTATTGTGGAGAAATTAAAAAGTAGTAATATATGATTACTCCCTTACTCCAGTAAGGAGATACATACAAAATAATCCAAAATTTAATAGTAAGAACGAAGCGCAACATGTTATAGCTATGTAGTAGAAAATAGGGATTAATTCCAATTTAGTTGGCAAAAGAGTAATATAAAAGAAAAAGTAATTAAAAACATCTCAGAGCAAGAGCATAGATAAATGCATAGAAGTACACAATGAATGAGTTCAGAGAATGCAATTATCTGGTGTGGTGGGAGTTTCCTAACAAATGTAGTAACTGAAGCATAAAGAGAAGAATCACATTATGGAAGGGGACTTGAAATCTAAGAATTGAATTGAAAATGAAAAATACTGACTTTTTCAGGAGGGAAGAACTGTTTTAGGAAGATATGACAGACCTATGAAGAGTAATTTGGAGAAGGGAAATGAGTTGAGGTTTAGTAGTATAAACAAAGAATGATGTGGTTGTAAATTAGGAGAGTAGTTCTGGGGATTAAAAGAAGGAACCACTGCAGGAGTAAAAACTACAGGACCTACTATGAATAATAAGGGAGATGGAGGAGTCAAACGTAATACTAAAGTTCCTATCCTACGTGGTAATTAACATTTAGTGATAAGATTTAAAGAAATCTTTGTTAGTATTTTATCAATCTTCACACCAATTAAATGGTTTTTAGGGAGCATTAGAGCAAGCTGATTGGAAACACTTTTAAAAATAACTTTGATGTACATAGAAAAGTTTTTTTAAAACTACTACTAGTTCATTCAGAGCATCCCAATTACTTTAAAAGGGTGACATTTTAACATTTGCACAAGATTAACAGAATCCTGACACACACACAAAAAAAAAGGTATGTGCAGGATTCCAATGAACTCCTACAAATAGTCACTAAAAAGTACATATCTGCATGAATAAGAGGTCAATGCCACAAACCACAATTTGTTAATATGCATAACAGATAATTCTCGATGCACAAGTTTTTAATTAGCTGGGTTTTTCGTTCTATTATGTATCTGAGCCATTTCTTATAAGATGGGATATAAAGCCATTTTTACTCACTGCAGTAATCCTAACAAGAAATATAACATAACGTACATATATATTAGAAAATGAAAAATATTCCTCATTTTCAATTGAGTACTTTGTATTCTGGAGATACAAAGTAAAAGACTACCTAGAAATGATTTATGGACTTTTTATTTTCAGTTAAGACAGAACTATTACTATTACTATTCTTATTAGTAAAATAAGAATTTTATGCACATTATGTATATTTAGGTAAGATTCCCAATTTACCATTTCTTGTTTTGAATAATCCCCACAAAGCATTAGAATCCTAAAGTAAAAATATATTTAACAGTTAAAATGGAAAGAATTTAAAATATATAATTTTTTCCCTTAAACTTAGAAAAATACTATCTTCTGCTTTCAAATATAAACTTATATAACAATGTATTACACAATGTATTGCATAACCAAATACAACAACAGACCTTTACGAACTGCTCATACAGCTGTCTAACTGTTTTCAGTCTCTGGCTCTGAACAATTCTAGACTGTTGAAAAATCTTTTGCTGCTGTCGAAACAAGTTCTACAAATATAAGCAAAAAAAAAAAATATGTGGTAACAATTTGGGTGAAATTTAAAATTTAGCAAAAAATGATTCTACGTTACATTTAAAAGGAATAGTTTTTCTATCAACAGTTTTAACTATTATGACCAAGCTCACCACTAATATACAACAGTAATAATCCTACCAGTCACAAAATAGCAACACTTAACAATACTCAAAATATATTGTTTTGTTTTGTTTGTTAATGTAGGCTCCATGCCCAATGTGGAGCCCAATGTCGGGCTTGAACTCATGACCCTGAGATCAAGACCTGAGCTGAAATCAATAGTTGGAAGTTTACTCAACTGAGCCATGCAGGTGCCCCAACAATACCAAAATATGTTTTAATTCTTGGTGCTCTCAGTATCAACATGTATGATCTTTACCTTTTTTTAAAAAAGATTTATTTATTTATGATAGAGAGAGAGAGAGAGAGAGAGAGAGAGAGAGAGAGAGAGGGGCAGAGACACAAGAGGAGGGAGAAGCAGGCTCCATGCCGGGAGTCGGACGTGGGACTCGAACCCGGACTCCAAGATCGCGCCCAGGGCCAAAGGCAGGCGCCAAACCACTGAGCCACCCCGGGATCCCCTGTATGATCTTTCCAATAAAGCTCATCTTTCAGTTCCTTGGACCACTTTTCACCAACGGTTTTTGTCCCCCACCCTACTTTAGCCATTCACAGTACATGCTCATACCCTGGATTTTGTCACTCCCAATAACTACAACCTCTACACAGTATAAACAATAGAAAATTTCGCATTAACTATGTGTTAGATACTATTCTGAACTCTTTAAATAAACATATTATATATGAACTCATTTAATCCTCAAAACAACTCCATGAGGTTATTATTACTCCTCTTTCATAGATAAGAAAACAGGCATCAAGATAATTTTTTCATAGTTTCACAGCTAGCATTTGGTGATATCAGGATGTGATTCCAAAGAGTGTATTTCCAGAATTCAGGTCTAACCATTTATTATTCATGCTATTTCTCCATATAACTCACTATTCACAACCACTACCTGCCTACCATGCTAGCTACCTCTTGGTACCATAATTCAGTAATCTCTATCATACCTAAAATCCACTCATCTTACTCATTTTCACATCCCCTATCCCTAATCCCATGTCCTCATTTTCCTCCTATCCAGTTTAAATTCTATGGTGAATCATCCTTTCATATATCCTGCCCAATTCCCACGCTGTCACACTTGTCTGGCTAAACTCCAATCCTGGAAAATTCAACTCTCCAGTAATTCTGCCTGCATCCCTATAGCTGGTCCTGACTAGCGAAAATCCCACAATTATGCTAACATGTCTCTCTTGAAATCATGATCACTGGCCTAAATTCGATCCTTAATGCTGCTTAGAAATTATATTTCCCTAGTCCATTCACTGATCCACTCAGGAAAGTGTTTTATTTGACCTCAAAAGGCAACATGTTTTCTACCATCCAATAACCTAATTATTTCACTAAAGAAACCCAATCCAAAGAGAACTTTGAGTCTCCATCATTTCTACCTACCCACCTATATCTGTGCTCACATACTTTACCTTCTTTCCTGTTTTTAAGGATGAACTGTCCTTGTTCTCTGCTACCCCCAACTTCTTCACATGTTCCAACCATTCTTAAGAATTCAACTGTCCCCCTTTTCCATTACTTATTTTTCCCTCAAGATTATTCTTCTCAGCAAACATATGTTGCTCTTTCTTCATTCTTAAACAAAAACCACACATTATTCCTTTTCTGCTCAAGCTACCACCCCATTTCTCTATTTCCTATTCTTTTATTATACTCCTCCTAATCAAGTTTCTGCACTCATTTTCTACCAAAATCATTCTGATCAAGAACATCAACAACCTTTACATTGCCAAATCCACCCTATGGTTCTCCCTCATATCTCTGAACTCTTAACACTGAAATACTTATTCCAGAAATCAGTCCTTAGGCCTCTCTTTTACATTTACAATCACTTCCTTGGTGGTCTCATCCATCTTATGGCTTAACTACTGTTAAGAATGTTGAGAATTCCCAACTTTGCACATTCAGCTCTTATTTTTTTCCAGAACTCCAGACCCCTATACCAATGGGCCTACTCAACACATCCCCTCGGATATTTCATATTAACATTTCCAAAACTGAGCTGATCAACCAACCCCTAAAATTATTTAATATGAATAGTACTTTAACTCTTAAATAAGAAATATGTGATAATTTTATAAATGAAAGAGTAAAATAATAACAGGGTAGTTACTGTAGTTATATAACATATGGGTATAGCACACTTCCATCTCCCACAGAGATGGGCATGTAACACAAGTCTGGCCATTAAGAGTAAACCATGTTTTGACCGTAATAACTGGTTCAGGAATGGGCAAATGATCCAAACTTTATCAGTGATATTCCTCCAGAGGACTTTTCTTTCTGCTAGCTATTGAAAAAAACAAAAACAAAAACAAAACAAAAAAAAACCCAAAAAACAAAAAAAACAAACAGTCCACTGGTTACTAAACTTGTAGTAAGTCTAAATTTTAAGAAGCTATCTTGCTTACCACATTGAAAGAGCCTATTAAGAATCGCAGACAGAGCCCAAATGACACTATATAACATGCAGTCCTTCCTTACATCCATCCAGCTATGTCTGAAGCTAACTAAACTACACCTGAACTTCTTTTATATAAACCAATAATCCTTCTTTTGTACTTTGATAATTTGTCATTTAGAACTGCAAGAATCACAACCAATATAGGAAGCAAAGGCCAACAGCTTTCACAAATGTGCCTGAGTTCTCTGGTTTCCCATTCAGCAGGACTGAAACACATAGCCAGTATGGGAAATGGAACCCAACCGAGTGTCCTAAATCTACTACAAGGCTAAGGTCTCCATTCCCACTTGACGCTTGGTTATAATAGATTATAAAATTAAGCATGATACTAACAGCTAGTTTTTCTTCTTGTTCCTCAATTTTCTGCATATCCATTTCCCACTGCTGAAACAAAGTCACAAACTGCTGAGAATATTCTTGGTTAAGCTTCTGCCTATAAAACATAACAATGAATATTTTCATATTTTATATCAAAATATTCCAAACAAAATTGATGACATACTTTATAAATACTAAAAGAGGAAATAATGGCATCTTAAATTGTCAAATATGAAACCAAAAAGTAAAATTATGATTTATGCTGATTTTCCTAGCCAGCTAACAACAGAAAAGCCCTCTCACATGCTTTAGTTCTCAGAAACTATGGAAGTCTTATTATATATACATTTTTCAGAAAAGTCCATTTCATTTCCAAGCAGTTTTTTTTCTCCAACTGAATATAGGCTCCAATATAAGTAGATTAAGTCAAATTATTGTGTTTATCATGTAAGATGTCTAAATAGAAATATACCACTTGGTTTTTCCCCATTTTGGTATAATGATTTTGTAAAAAAGAACAATTAAGTCAATTCAGCTAAAATACACAGATTATTTACAATAAAACTGATCTTTTTCTACAATGTTAAAAACAGGTAACTATCACAAAGCTAATAATTTATATGACATTTACTTTTTATTCAATGTATTTCTAGAATGAAAATAACCTTTAGGGTAAAAACACCAGTTGTTATTTAAATGGAGAAAATTATAATCTGCATTGATTTCTAAGAAATATATCTCAAGTCTGTGAAGAAGTAAGGTTTTAGGACTAACAGGCTTAAAGGAAAATCAAGCCAAATATGTATTTTACTAGAGACTCCAATAAATAAATGATAGTATTTTTCATAATTTGTACCGAGAAATGATACAAATTTTGTGGCTGTGAAAAAACCAACAACCTTACCTTTGCTCTTGCTGAGTTTTCCAAACATGTTCAATTTTCTGGTTGCTGGTTTTGAGAGAAGCCTTAGTATACAGTTCTAGTCTTTTTCTCTTTGCAAGAAGGGCCTTGTTAATGTCAGCTTTATTAAAAATAAATATCCATTAAAACTTAATGTTGAAATTTATTTTATTCCCACATATTCAAATTAAATACAGATATAATTGCTTCAACAGTTTTGGAAAGACGGCTAAAATTAAATCTTACAGTAGGTACAATATTAAAAAGCAAGATTATCTGTTTTTTTTTTCCCTAAGGAATTTCCGGCTATTAATATCTCAATTTTGATTTTCCTAACTAGGGTTAATTTTTTAATTTAGAGAGGACTGAAAAATGCTAAACATGAAAAAAGAGGGGGGTCTCAAAGACCTTTAACTTTTTCAGGAGAAAAAAATAATAAAGGCTAAATTTTTCTAAATTTGTAAAATACTCTCCAACTGAAACTCATTTAGATGAGTTATTTCTAGAACTCATCATATGAAATACAAAATTATTTTTAAAAAGAATCCAAAAAGAATAAAAACAGTTAAATAGGAAAATTAGTTTAAAAAAGTCCGTGATACTTTTAAATATAATTTTTACCAAAAAGAGATAAAAAAACCAAGCATAGAAAAATCTTAAATATACTGATAAATTCATTCATGAAATCTTTTAAATATTTCTGTGGAACTTTTTTCCCCTGGACTTATTAAAAGAACATTTATTTCTTATTGAAGTATAATCAACACAGCGTTACACATTAGTTTCAATGAATAAGAGTGATTTCTGGAGCTTTTTATAGGACATTTTTAAGCACTGTATTTTATAAAATTTTTAATACCTCAAAAAATGTTTTGCTAAACTATGGCTCTACTGCCAATAATTATTTTTCAGTTAATCATGATGGATCTGTATTATACAAATATTTTATATTTCCAATCTCCACCTATGATAAATTTAAAAGATTACAAAACAAACATTTTTCCACCACCAAATAGAGCAAAGGTTTCAAGAAACACTTGACTGAATAATCCATATAGAAGAGCCAAACAAATATTGACTCTCTTTTTAAGACCGCTACCCCTGGGGCACCTGGGTGGCTTAGTTGGTTAAGTGTTGGCTTCAGCTCTGTTCACAATCTCCAGGTCCTGGGATCTAGCCCCACATTGTGTTGGGCTCCCTGATCAATGAGGAGTTTGCTTCTCCCACTTCCTCTGCCCCTTCTTGGCTTGTGCTCTAATAAATAAAATCTTAAAAAAACAAAACAACAACAAACAAAAAACAAAAAACAAAAAACAAAAACCTATCCCCTAACAGAGTTAAGGTAACTGATATTTAATATACCATTTAAAGTTTATGAACTTCTCTGATTATAGATCTCTTACTAGCTAGCAGGGTTACCTTTCTCAACTACATAATGTAATAATGTAAAAAATAACAATAAAAAGGGATTTTAAAGGGCTCAATTTATATTGCCCCTCCTAAGAACACAGGAATGTCATAGAAAATAACTAAATTGAGAAAATGAAAACATAACATACAGATATGTGTGTGTGTAACACTTGGTCTGTGAGTTTGTGAAAGTTCATACAAAGAGGGGTAGATATTTTCCCCTTCCATTTTTATTCTAAAATTCCAAAGTCCATTAAATTCACACATGTATAAAATAAAATCACCATTCTTACCTCAACACCGTTAATACCATTTTTACTCTTCCTATCGACAACTGGAGAAGGTTAAGTAAGGAAATCTATGTGGTAATAGTCTTGTAGTCCACTGATTAACATTTCCTGTTATATAAGTTAGGTGCTATACCGTTTAAATAATTATCTTAAAAGACAAGTATCTCCTAAAACATACCTCCAAATCTTTCCAGCATATTTTGTACTTCACCCCTGTGAAATTACATCAAAAAACTTCTCATTAAGGATTGAAATACCGTATGTACAATGTATTTACATACAATACTCACTGCACAACCAAACTAGACTTTTCTTAAAGTACGTTATGTAACAGGCAAAAATTATTTTGAGCACATCACCCCACATCTTCAAATACTGCTGAAGTCCTTTTCTTCCCATGCTTATCAATTACTGGAGTCTTCCCTGCATTGACAATAAAAAAAAAAAAATCGAAACTAAGTATTCCATTTTGGTACTTTTTTATGGTGTAATATCTTAATTTTGAGTACTTTTAGGCTTTTGTTGCCAACATAACTTTTTAAAGCAGACATATAAATACCACACTTTCCCTGCAGTTTAAATGGAATTAAATCGGGATTCGGGACCATTTTATAGGAACAATTCTGCGAGCTTTCCCATGTTAATGTCGTAAGTCAGGTTTTTATTTTTGCTCATTAATGTTATGTGTATGTTCTATATTCATGAAGCAGGCATCTGGAGAATAGTGACTGTAATGGCAAGAGATGGTATGCAGCTTTTCATTTTTTAAAAAAATAGATTTTATTTATTCATGAGAGACACAAAGAGAGGCAGAGACAGAGGCAGAAGCAGGCTCCCTGCAGGGAGCCCGATGTGGGACTCAATCCCAGGACCCTGGGATCACGACCTGAGCCAAAGGCAGACACTCAACCAGAGCCACCCAGGAGTCCCTGTACAAGCTTTTCAAACTTGAAATGAGAAACATGAAGTGCATGATAACGCTTTACAAATAAAGTTTTATTAAAGTTTAAACTGTAGTGCGTCCCAAACAGATCACCGCCAGGACATGGTCACTGCCCGACCACCTTAAACACTGCGTACCTTCAGGGACATCCTCCTCGGAAACACTCAGATCTTTTTTAACTTCTTTCTCAAACTCATAGGCTCTTATAACCTGATCCTCCATGGACGTCTTCCCAGACTTCCCCGTGTGCTTTCTTCCAGAGGGCACCATAGTCACAGGTTTTCTGACTTTTAAAAAATAAATCTCTCAAACCTTCTGAATCCAAAGACATCATTTAAGTAAACTGCTAAATTTTCAAAATCAGCGGTATCGAAAAAAAGATCTTAGTCGAAAAACACTTTACTGGGAGTTCCCTCCTCACTTATTTTGTTGGCCCCAAATCAACAGGGGTAACGACACACCCACCGATGGAGGGTTCGCCTCTGGGGGCTGGGAGATCTGAATTTTAGTCCCGCCTTTGTCAAGATTCTCGCTAAATTCAAGGAGATCTAGTCTGTGCACTTCCGTCACAAAGGGAAACTGTAGCATAGTTGGTGGGGTTAACCCCGTCAGCACGCCCCTCGGTAAATTCACGGTAAATTAAATCTAAAATAAAGGCGGTTCGCACCCCGTGCCGCGGGAAATAACGATTCCGCTTAAGAATTTCACGACATGAACGCGGGGTACAAAGGAAAAGCCCTTAGTTCATCACGTTCTGACGGGGGTGGGGGGGCGCGCATGAGCGAGCGACGCCAGGCGGGCGACAGCCCACCCACCCGGCTACCGAGACAGAAACCGGCCTGAGCCGTCGGAACCAGTCAGATCCGGTTCTGCCCGCCGCATTCCACCCGTCACTCGACGGCAGGAAGCCCCGCCCTCAGGGAAGTTCACGAACTTCATTTTCCTGTCAGAGGCCCTAAAAATTTACCTCACGGATCAAAAGCAGCCTCGGACTGGAGCGCGAGGCAAAGTCCTCCCTTCCTCCCACCTGAAAAAAGTCCCCAATGGCCAAAACCACAGGAATTGGTCTCCCGAGAGGCGTCCCGCCACTCCAGCCCCAACCGCTCCAGCCGCTTACCCCGAGGTGTGCGCTGTGCCGCCACGATGCTTCTGAGGAAAGTTAGACTTCACGCGGGAGAAAAGCGAGAAGGCTCGCCTCGCCCGAGGGCGTCGCTGATTGGCTAGTGAGGGCGTCGCTGATTGGCTGGTGGCTCTGCGCGTGCGTATAGAAGGCCACAGGCTCCGCCCCTGCGAGCAACCGACCGCGAGACGGCTGCCCCAGAGTGCCTTGCGGGCCGCGGCCTGCGCAGCCTTAGTGTCCTGGAGGCCTGTTCGTGTGTGGTTTTCTAGATTAAGTTTTAATTCTTAAAATTTAATTTGAAAATTGCAGAATATGTAAGTCACGAAACAGGATGAACACACGACCTAATTCGCGAAGTAGAATTTACTGGAAGCCTTGGAATTTCCTTAGGAAGGCCTTTCCATTCCATCCTCGCCCCTAATTCCCCTTTCGGATGTGTGGGTTTTGTTTTGTTTTGTTTTGTTTTTAATTATCCGGAATTCTGTGTAAATCGTCGTCCCTCCTATTTTCTAAGTTTTATTACCACATATATGTGTCCTTCACCTCGCTTGGTTTTGTGTTTGGGTGATAGTAAAAATATGTACGTCATATTAGCATACATATGTGATACCATATCCCTTGTAATACTCGGCCACTCACGTTTTACTTCACATTATGTCACTCAGAGAATCTATATTATTAAGTGCATCCGTAGCTCTTTCATCTTCACTGCACAGGTTTTGCTGTGACTCCCGCACTTTCTTCATCGGTTTTCTTGCCCGGCACACGTGGGCTGCGTCAGAGCACAGCCTGTCTGAACATCGGCCCTATGAAATTGTGAGCTCAGGTATATACGACCGAGTCTGCAGAGACCCGAGGTATGACGTCACCAGGTCACAAACTGGACCACACGGTAACGCAACCCTGGCTTCCCAGGTGCGTTCCCGCCGACAGAGCGAGCGGCTGCCGTTGGGTGGACTCACCACGTGGTGTGGGCAGATTTCTTCATTTTGCCATTCGAGCAGGTATAGGATGGTACGACTTCCGGGCCGCCTTTATTTTACTCCAATTACTCATGAGATTATGCTCCTGCTAGGCTTATTGGCCATCTGCATGTTCTTTTTCTCAAGATTTCTATTGGAGGTTTCTTGTTGATGTATTTGAGGCTTTATATATGCTGGATGTTAATCTTTATGACTTTCTTTAGCTTTTCAAAGAAACATATCCTAATCCTGAAGTCATAAAAATATAGAGGGTTTAAGGTTTTATTTTTTAAGCCTTTGTTCATCTAGAGGCAATTTTTTTGTGCCTGGTGTCAAGGTCGGATCCAATTACTTTTTTTGCCCCATGAGAAATCCAATTCATAATTCATTGAATAGTGCAAACTTTCCCTATAACAGCTATATCTGTTTGTATAACATTTTTTACATGTTTTTGAGTTTGCTTCTTTAACCTGTTCCACTGGCCAGTCTGCTATTCCTTTGCCAAAACTGTAGTTTTCATCACTCCAGCCTTATCTCTTTGGTATCTGATAGGGCAGGTCTCACACCTTATCTATTTTCTTCAGGAATATTCTGTGTATTCTTGAACTTTTGTTTCTCAAGTAAATTTTAGAATCCATTTTCCAAGTCCCATGAAAGAAAAAAAAACTTGGATTTTGATAGGCATTGCATTGAATCTGTAGCTCAGTTTGAGGAAATTGAGCCTTCCTATTCTTTTTTTTTAATCTTTTAAAAAAATTTTTTGAGTCTTCCTATTCCTGAATATAGCATAATTTTCATTTACTTAGAACTTTGTTAATATCAATCAATAAAGTTAGTCCTTTTTTTCTCTGCACAGGGTCTGCACTGTTATTAGATTATAAGTCATATTGTTATCTTGTTCTAATTGCTGGTATATAAAAATCCAATTGATTTCTGATATTAATCTGATATAAGAATACAGTACTTCTAATAGTTTATAGAGGCTGGGTCTGTATAATCACATCATCTGCAAATAACAACATTTTTGTCCCTTAATTCTTTGGCTTTCTTTTCTGACCGTACTCACTAGAATGTTTATATAAAGATGAATAGAAGCATCAATATTGAACATTCTTCCTTATCTTAAAGGTCACGTTTCTAAGATTTCTACTAACGATGATACTAAATGAAGATTTAGGTGTTTGCTTTTTTTGAAAATGTAGCTTCTATTTGTAGTACGCTGTTTTTTGTGTGCTTATTTGTTTTGTTTTGTCATTCTGTTTTAAATCACGAATGACTGCTGCATTTTATTTTTATATCTATTGAAATAATCGCTTGTTAATGTGGTGAGAAAGATTTATATGTTTTTAATGTAAAACCAAACCTACATTACTGTAATAAACCCAAGTGGATCCTGATAATATTCACTTTTTAAGCACATTGCTTTGTTGGATTTCAACAGTGTGTTGTGTCCATTTTCATGATTGAGGTTGGCTTGTAATTTTCTGCTCTTACCTAGTTGGGAATGAAGTCTATGTACATGGCTTGCTCCATGTTGTCAGGTCTTTGTTCAAACATTACTATTCAGGGATCCCTGGGTGGCGCAGCGGTTTGGCGCCTGCCTTTGGCCCAGGGCGCGATCCCGGAGACCCGGGATCGAATCCCACGTCGGGCTCCCGGTGCGTGGAGCCTGCTTCTCCCTCTGCCTGTGTCTCTGCCTCTCTCTCTCTCTCTCTGTGACTGTCATAAATAAATAAAAAAAAAAAAAAAAAAAAAAAAAAAAAAACATTACTATTCATATCAGTGAGGCCTCTTCTGCCCCTACTTTTAGGTACTGTAAATGCAAACTCTGCACCTTATTTCTTCTCTTTCCCTATCCCCCTTCCCCATTTACCTTTCTCCTAGCACTTACAATTTCTTATTATAAATGTAATTTATTTACCGTATTGTCTCCCCCAACCCCTTTAGAATGCAAACTCTATATAGTATATAGTGTGAGGAACAAAGCTAATTTCACTTTTTTCCAAATGTCTATCCAGTTATCCCAACATCATGTACTAAAACGTCAATCTTTGTCTCCACTGAATTGAAATACCACCTTTAGTTGACACTAGATTTCCATAAGGAGTTGGGTCAACATCTGGATTTTGTTACATCTCACTGACATATCATTCATGTACCAGTACCGCACTGAATCATAGACACTTAGAGCATATGTATTTTCTAAAGATTTATTTATTCTAGAGAGAGAGTGCACACAAGAGCAGGAGGGGCACAGAGAGAGGGAGAGAATCTCAAGCAAACTCCATACTTCGCAGGGGCTCAGTCTCACCATGGTGAGATCACAGCCTGAGCCAAAACCAGGAGTCAGAAGCTTAACCAACCGTGCAACCCAGGCGCCCCATGAGTATATTTTAATATTGGATAGGCTGGTTCCCCTCATCGCCATATTTTCCATGGTTTTCCTAGCTATTCTTGCATTTTTTAAAATATAGCTTTTAGCACCATCTTACGTCTCTCTAAGAAGAAAAACCTTGACTTTTAAAAGTTTTTATTTAAACCCCCGTTAACACAGTGTAATAGTTGTTTCAGGCATACCATATAGTTATTGAGCACTTCCGTACAACTTTAGGTGTTCATCACAGTGCGTGTCCTCCTCAGTCCCCATCACCTGTTTTACCCATCGCCCCCACCACCTCCCCTCTGGTCACCAGCAGTTTGTTCTCTATCGGTAAGAGTCTATTTCTTGGTTTGCTCCCTCTCTTCCCCACCCCCTTTGATTCTTTGTTTTGTTTCTTAAGTACCACACACGAGTGAAGCCATACAGTATTTGTCTTTCTCTGACTGACTTATTTTGCTCAGCATAATACCCTCTAGGTCCATCCATGTCGCTGCAAATGGCAGGATTTCATTCTTTTGATGGCTGAGTAATATTCCATTCTATATCTATATCACATTTTCTTTATCCATTCATCAGTTGATGGACGGGCTGTTTCCATACTTTAGCTACTGTGGATGATGCTGCTGTAAACATTAGGATGCATGTAACCCTTTGAATGAGTATTTTTGTATTCTTTAGGTATATACCTAGTAGTGCAATTGCTGGATCATAGGTAATTCTGTTTTAACTTTTCAAGGAACCTCCACACTGTGTTGCAGGGTGGCTGTGCAAGTCTGCATTCCCACCAGCTATGCAAGAGGTTCCTCTTTCTCCACATCCTTGCCAACACCGGCTGTTTCTTGTTTTGGTGAGTTTGGCCATTCTCACAGGTGTGAGATGGTATCTCATTATAGTTGTTTTCTTTTTAAGATTTTATTTATTTTAGAGAGAAAGAACATGAGGTGGGGGGAGCAGAGGGAGAAGCCCACTCCCCACTGAGCAGGGAGCCCAACTCAGGGCTTGATCCTGGGATCCTGGGATCATGACCCGAGCTGAAGGCAGTTGCTTAACCACCCGACTGAGCTAGCTACTCAGGTGCCTCACTTTTTTTTTTCAGGGTTGCTTTGGTTATTCTGGGTCTTTTGTGGTTCTTACATGTTTTAGGATTATTTGTTCTAGGTCTGTGAAAAATGCTGGTGTTATCTTTATAGGGATTGCATTAAATGTGTAGATTGCTTTAGGTAGTATAGACATTTTAATAATATTTGTTCTTCCAACCCATGAGCATGGAATGTTCTTCTAGTTCTTTGTGTTGTCTTCCATTTCTTTCATTAGTGTTTTGTAGTTTCCAGAGTGTACAGGTCTTTCACCTCTTTGATTAGGTTTATTCCTAGATATCTTACTATTTTTATGCTGTAGATGGGATTGATTGCTTAATTTCTCTTTCTGCTGCTTCCTTATTAGTATATAGAAATGCAACACAATGCTGTATGTTGGTTTTGTATGCTACAACTTTACTGAATTCATGTGTCAGTTCTAGCTGTTTTTTTTTGTTGTTGTTGTTGTTGTTGGAGTCTTTTCAAGTTTTCTATAGAGTATCATGTCATCAACAGATAGTAAGTGTCTTACTTCTTGCTTGCTGATTTGGAGGCTTTTTGTTTATTTTTGCTCTCTGGTTGCTGTGACTAGGACCTCCAGGATTGTTTTC